GTTGTAAGTGTGAAAAATGGTCATAAGTCACTTTGTTAATGCCACTGTAACTTTGAATGGTCACTAAACAACTGTTGTAAGTTGAGGACTACCTGTATTCAATCCAATCCAATTCTAATGGCCATCATGGCATGGGACTAGGTTATTTTGTGACTATCTTTGTTCACTTGTTTCTGCCTTGACACTAGCTATAGCAGGATAAGCCGGGCTCCATCTGTTGAGCAACGCCATGGATAAATTCTTAACACTTTCTGGAGGCATTGCCTGAAATAGGGGCTTATGGTTTGACAATAGAGGTTAAGTGCTGTCTCCTTAAGAGATGGCTTATGGGAAATTTGGTTTAGCTAGTCAGCTATCTCATGTTATCAGGTATGTGGGAGGAGTTACTGAGCTTATCACAGGATTTCCTAGACACAAGCCAGTTTGGAATGTCTTTTGTCTCAGAAAGCATGGGGTCACCAGCATGTCTCAGATGACCCCAATTCACGATGTAGAAGTGGTATGGAGGAAGCATTAATTTCTCACTGTTCTGACAACCAGAATTAAATTGCGTTGTAAAACTGGGTCAGACAGATAAACTCAATAGAAATGATTTTAAAATAGAAATATATTTATTCAGAGGAAATACTTGCATTTCTGTTGGTTGCTTCTGGACAATACATCTCTGTTCATTCCCATAGGTGAGAAATTAATGCTTCCTCCATACCACTTGTACATTATGAATTGGGGTCATCGAAGACATGCTGGTGACCCCATGCTTTCTGAGACAAAAGACATTCCGAACTGGCTTGTGTCTAGGAAATCCTGTGATGAGCTCAGTAACTCCTCCCACATACCTGACAACATGAGATAGCTGACTAGCTAAACTACATTTCCCACAAGCTGTCTCTTAAGGAGACAGCACTTAACCTTCAAACATACAGAACTACATGGTCCAGAACAGGCAATGACCAAATCTTCTCCACACCTTGCTACAGCGATAGCTGAGGACTTGCCCAATATCCCATCCCAGAACATTGCTGATGGAGCCGCAGTCACTGGATATGTTAACAATTGCAGCTTTGCTGCAGCTCATTCCTTTCAGGACACTTTCCTGGGATGCCTTCTTCAGCAAAGGTAAGAAGACCTGAAAAAGGAGAGGCAAAAAATTAAAAACAGCGTCACGCTATTGCCGGATATGGAAAACTCACTCTGGGAATCTGCAAATGATAGTCCGGAAATTATTCATCAAAGACTGTCTTGTACTTTTATAAGTCAGAGCTGAAGAAGCTTCTTTTGGAGGAGAAGTGAAACGTCTTCAAAGAAAAACAAGAAAGGCCAGTGGCCTCGTGAAAAAGCACCTTTGGGTCATAAGGCTCATTTTTCAATGCTGCTGTAACTCTGAACGCTCACTAAATGAACTGTTGTAAGTTGAGGACTTCCTGCATTAGGGACATTCTGAGTTCTGTATTGGAGAGATCTAATGTTTTGGACATTCTTTTATTCTAGGTCTTTTTTTTTTTTTTTGAAGGACTAATTAGACATGATGTTGTGGCAGATTGAGTTTCAATATACTCCCTATGTCCTAGAACAGTGGTTCTCAACCTGTGGGTCGGGGCCCCATTTGGGGTCGAACAACCATTTCACGGGGGTCGCCAAACAACGCAGTCCGCCATTTCCCCTCCCCTTTTCCTTAGCTGTGCTCCTCCCTTTTATTCTATTGGCTTTCGAAAGCCAATAGAATAGACTCTCTTGAACAGAGTCTAATTCTATTGGCTTTCCAAAGCCAACAGGAATTGTCCAGGCTGTCTCTGCCCTGCTGAGCCCGCCAAAATTCCCAGTCTGCAAACGGGGCTGCACCAGTTGAGTAGTTCTCAACTTACGACCGGTTGAGTAGTCCTCGACTTACGACCTGTTGGGGGTCGCGGCATTAAAAAGGTTGAGAACCACTGTCCTAGAATAAAGTGAAAGAGCCGTGGTGGCGCAGTGGTTAGAATGCAGTATTGCAGCAAACTCTGCCACTGCTAGGAATTTGACCCTGACCGGCTCAGTATTGACTCAGTCTTCCATTCTTTGGTAAAATGAGGACCCAGATTGTTGGGAGGCAATATGCTGACACTGTAAACCGGTTAGAGAGTGCTATAAAGTACTGCGAGGTGATATATAAGTGCTATTGCTAAGTAAGACCTAGTCAAAAGGAGAGATCTCCTACCTGGCCCATCACCATGGGACCAATGACGTTGGTATTGTACACCTCTGACATGTTTTCTGGTGTCTCGGATTCCACAGTGGATGGCTTTACTATTCCAGCATTGTTGAACAACAGATTCAACCCAGCTCCATGCAGACGTTCGGTAATTGTGGCTGCAGCAGCTTGGATGCTGGATGGATCAGAAGTGTCTAAAGCAGAGATGAGAAAGATTTTGTAAGTGATGCAAATCCCTAGTGATGAAGTAACACTGCTGTCACCCAACAAGACACCTAACTGCCTTTTTTATATACAGTATCAGAATTCTATATGCATTAGAAAAGCATTTCTCAACCTCACCTGACAGGTCTCACCTGGATCGTTTGCACCTCCCAAGAAGATGCCATAATTTTCAGAATGGCAAGATATAGTTGCAAAAGGCAGAGCAGGAGAATCAGAACAATAGTTTATGGGGGACTTTTATGAAAATATAGCATTCTATACTTTCCAAAAGGATGCTTTGATTGAAGAACTACAGAATGTTCACTTCACTGCATTTCTCATTCTCTCTCTTATTTTTTTTTATTTACTTTTATTTTTATTTTGTTGCTCTACAGTGTTCGCATCAAGAGTGCCTGTGGGGGCCTGGGCAGGAGTGGGACAGATCTGCAGGTTTCTGGCAGAAGGGGGTTGGGCCGGGGCAAGTGCCAAGGCATGGTCCACTGGAGGAGCCTCACCGTTCCTCTCAGGCCATGAGGGGGGGCTGGATGGTGGTGGGTGCTGCCCGGAGCCCTGGGCAGCAGAGGTCAAAAGCCCAGCCTGGCCCTCGAGCACTCGCGGCACCAAGCCCAGCTGCACTTACCTCCTCCTCAAGGCTGCTGCTGCTGTGCTTGCTCTCCTTAACCAGGTTGCTCATGATGGGTACCAGGGCAAAGTCAGAGGGAGACTGAATGCGTTTCAGCGTAGATGGCCACCACAAAATTGTACATTGGCTCCCGGCCGGCTGGCCTGGGCCAGGGCCAAGGCAGCGGGGGCCGTTCCCTCACTGTTTCCAGGATGGCTTCGCGGGCCACATGAAACCACTTTGCGGGCCGCATCCGGCCCCCGGGCCTTGTGTTTGACATGTCTGCCTTATTCAGTCCTATCCTATTATGGTAACCTGTGGCTTATTTTTTTTTTTAAATGTTATTATGCAAGTGTTAAGTGCTTATGCACAATCTTATCTAGCTTAAAATCTCAGAATGACAGAGAACAAATACATTGCTTCATTTTTACAGCTTTTTTGGCAGAAACAGATCTGGACTATTGCACCCTTTGGGAGAAAGGAGAAACCACCAGATCTTTACAATCCCATTTCAAGGATTGTAATCAGAGCAACAGACCCATGAAGCAGGCGAAACAAATTCCTGCAGTAAATACAAGACAGATGTGCCTTGATATGTCTACAAATAGTCCTTGACTTACCACAGGTTCATTTAGTGACCGTTCAAAGTTACAACGGCATTGAAAAAAGTGACTTACGGCCAGTTTTCGCACTTACGGCCGTAGTAGCGTCCCCACGGTCACGTAATCAAAATTCAGACGCTTGGCAACTGACTCATATTTATGACAGTTGCAATGTCCCGGGGACCTGGGTGTTCATTTTTGGCGACTGGGGAGGTCAGATTTGTTGAACAACAGTTTGACTAATTTAACAATTACAGTGATTTGAGGCAAAGTCACTTAACAACCCTTAGCAACAGAAATTTTGGGCTCAGTCATGGGCTACCCATACTTCCGTCTCACAAAAGCCCCCCCCCCCTCTATAATCCCCATACAAGTCAGCTCTTAGCCCAGTGATGGCGAACCTTTTAGAGACCGACTGCCCAAACTGCAACCCCAAACCCACTTATGCATCGTCGGGTGCCGGGTGGGTGTGGCCCATTGGGTGGATGTGGCCCATTGGGTGGACGTGGCTGCGGTGGTAACAGCAGACTGGGTGGGACTAAAAAGTGCAATCAATCAATTCCGACTTTGCAAGATCTTTTTTTTCCCTGCGAGAAGTTGAGATTGACTCATTGATTGAACCTTTTTTTTTTGCATACGGCGGCAGAGGCCTAAAGCGAAAAGGTTTTATAAAACCCAGCTGAAGGCCTAGGACTGGGGCGACGGCGCGCGTGCCCACAGAGAGGGCTCTGAGTGCCGCCTCTGGCATCTGTGCCATAGGTTCGCCACCACTGTCTTAGCCCATAAGAACTGGAGTGAGGGGGCAACCAGCGATCATCCAGACGCTGCTGAGCCACCAGAGGGTGGCTCTCAATCCAGGAGGAAGGACAATATTAATAAATGCTGAGAGTTAGGAGGCAGCAATAGCTGAAGGGCTGTATGTTGCCCGGTTTGAAAGCCAGGGCAGGAACTAGGAACTCACCAAGCTGGATGATTTCTACTCGGTGCTGGTGCTGGGCAGCCAGGTTCTTCAAGCTCTGAAAGATACAGATGTGAGAAGCTTTTGAGGTTGGTGAAGAATGTGAGGCTGAGCCGAAAGGAAAGCAGGAGGCAGGAGTTAAATTATTTGCAGAAGGGAAGAGAATGTTTGCAGGAGATCTCTATCTCAAGCCCTTTCCCACCCAAGGCATGCTTTGCTTGTCATTAGAGCAAAGTTACTAACCCCCGTTGATTCCTTCCAGGGCTCACCTTTGCACGGGGACCCTCTGGGTCACGGCAAGTGGCAAAGATCCATTCTGGGGGGTTGCTTTTCTCCACCAGTTGCTTCACCAGCTCCAGGCCGATGCCCCGATTAGATCCCGTCACCAGGACACTGCGTGGATTCAGCACTTCCATCTGCTTTGGTGGTGTGACTCCAACTGGGAAAGTTATGCACCTTGAGTTCAATGAATCAGGTTTTCGTCACTGTCATCTGCCTTGGCTTCCAGAAACGGTTTCTCTTCTCTGATGTTCTGCTGCCTATATTGGGCAGAACTTCAGGAGGTAACTGCCCACACCTGGCTTTAAAAACTGCTGTTGCTTAGCGAGGGAGGAGATTGGAGAGAAGACTGTGTGTGTTTGTGTGTGCGTTTTTGTTTGTGAGTGTGTGTATGTGTGTTGGAAGGAAGGAAGGAAGGAAAGAAAGGAAAGAAAGAAAGAAAGAAAGAAAGAAAGAAAGAAGAGAGAAAGCGTATGGAAGGAAAAAAGGAAGGAAGAAGAAAGAAAGAAAGAAAGAAAGAAAGAAAGAAAGAAAGAAAGAAAGAAAGAAAGAAAGAAAGAAGAGAAAGAGGGAGTATGGAAGGAAAGAAGCAAGGAAGGAAAGAAAGAAAGAAAGAAGAGAGAAAGAGTATAGAAGGAAGGAAGGAAGAGAAAGAAAGGAAAGAAAGAAAGAAAGAAAGAGAAAAAGAAAAAAGAAAGAAAGAGAGAGAGTATGAAAGGAAGAAAGGAAGGAAGAAGAAAGGAAAGAGAAAAAGAAAGAGAAAGAAAGAAAGAAAAAGAAAAAGGGAGAGTATGAGAGGGAAGGAGGAAAGGAGGGAGGGAGGAAGGAAAAGAGACAAAGAGAATATGGAATATGAAAGAAAGAAAAAGGAAGGAAAAAAGAAAGGAAAAGAAAGGGAGAGAAAGGAAGGATGATCTTCAAATGTAGCTTGGAACAATTGAGTATTCTTTTAAAAGACATAATATTCTTCTGAGTATGATGGACGATACCACTGACTGGATCACTGCCTGTTCTGGCTAGATGGCTTAAGGGCAGAGTACAACTTAATGAAGCAGAGAATGTGCAGGCAGATATCTAAAAGGGACCCAAATTAATGCTGGCCTCTGTCACAGAGCCGGTGATTTATTTCGCAGCTCACATCTTTTCTTTTCGCACCTGTGCTTTGTACCACCACCTCAGGCTAAGTGTCTGTGGTGGTGGTGGACCTCTAAAGGAGAACATCTGTAGCCCAGGGTTGAAATTGAGGGGTCCTTGGTGCTCTCCGAGCTTGCTTGTTTTCTTGCCGACGCTGCATTACCCAAACTAGGTAACATCATCAGCGCACATCTGAAACGTCGGCAAGAAAACAAGCAAGCTCAGAGAGACCCCTCTTCTACCTCTGCTTTTCAGAGCAGAGCTTTTAAGGTCTGCTCCAGCTTCTTTGAAATGGCTGCTGCCAAGCTGGTATTTTCCCTTGGCGTCGCTGAAGCTGCAGCTGATCCAATTTCCTTGGCATTGCAGACCTGGAGTCAGGCTGATGCATTTCCTCTCCCCCCCCCCCCAGGAACTCTGGCCTCATCCTGCCTTGCAATGTTGATGCTGCAGCCAGCCACGACTCTTTCCTTCGGTTCCCTAGAAACAGTTGTCATCTTGCACGCTCATCGCCTTTAGATGTTATCTCACCTAAGCCAGCTGTCATGGCAACATGTCATTATAGCCTGGGCTCTGGAAAACAGTCCCTCTTTCCAAAATCACCTTATGCTCACATTTCCCTTGCATAGATCTGTAGAGCTTTTAAATGCAACAGCAGAGCGGTGACCAAGCAGCTAGAAAGACCCAAGGTGGGAGATTCAAAGGTTTTGTTTTTTATTGTATTATAACGCCATTCCCCTTTTACTGCCTCCCTTTATTTGTTGTTGTTAGTTGCGAAGTTGTGTCCGACCCATTGTGACCCCATGGACAACGTTCCTCCAGGCCTTCCTGTCCTCTACCATCTTCTGGAGTCCCTTTAAGCTCACACCTACTGCTTGTGACTACATCCAGCCACCTCCTTCTCTGTCGTCCCCTTCTTCTCTTGCCCTCCATCTTTCCCAGCATCAGGCTCTTCTCCAGTGAGTTCTTGCTTCTCATTAGGTAGCCAAAGTACTTGAGTTTCAATTTCAGGATCTGGCCTTCTAAAGAGCAGTCAGGGTTGATCACCTCTAGGACTGTCCGGTTTGATCACCTTGCAGTCCTGGGGACTCGCAGGAGTCTTCTCCAGCACCATAGTTCAAAGGCCTCAATTCTTTGTCGCCCAGCCTTTCTTATGGTCCAACTTTCACAGCCATACATTGCAACTGGGAAAACCATGGCCTTGACTATACTCCTTTTATAGGGGAGTCTTTTTAGATATCTTGCACAACACCGGGGAAAGATATTTTGTACACGTGGAAATCTTTTAAGTCCATTGAAATGTCCCTGTTGTAGGAGGTTCATTTGCGGTTACATACAAGAAAAAACATTTTTACACAATTTTTGGATAAATTTCACTCAGGTTTGGGAAGCAGTCTGCTAGGAGAACAAAAGCCACCAGAATTTATCCAACTACACCACTTGCTAGTTTTGAATTCCAGTAACCCTTGACTCTAACTGAAATTGCTCTTTGGATCAAAGAATCAGAAGTTTAGCTTTTGGCAGGAGAAAGAATTGGCAGAGTTGACCTTGTTAAAGATTAACTTTGCTTTATAGGCTGCTTTGGATATGGTCACTGCCTGCCTCGCTGGGGAGCTGAAAAAAGATGGAATTTTATGCACTTCGATCCATCCTGGCTGGGTGAAAACTGACATGGGAACCATTGCAGCTACAATGAAGTCACCATTCAGAAAGGGTTGCAAGAAAGAGATAATTATGTACCATGCAGTTAAGGGTTCTTGTTGCAGCCTGTCATAAATGCACGGATTGTAGTTGAAAGGCAATCCGTGCAAGTCAACCAGGCTGAGGTAAAATAATAAAATCAGAATAGGCAGAGGCTCGGTTTGTAGACTCTGCACCTATAGACAACGATTCTACTTGCAGAAACAAGTTGCCGTGCCCTGGAGTCACGTGATCCCCTTTTGCAATCTTCTGAAAAGCAAAGTCAAGGGGGGAAGGCAGATTCACTTAACAAACTTGTTGCTAACTTAACAACTGCAAGGATTCACTTAGCAAGGAAGGTGGTAAAAATGGGGCACAACACGCTTCACCAATGTCTCGCTTAGCAACAGAAATTTTGGATTCTATTCCGGTCGTAAGTCAAGGATTACCTGTAGTGTGGGTATGAATTGTATTTTTTTTAAAACCATTTGAAAGCCAGCTCCCTCCCTCCCTCCCTGTCTTTCTCACACACACACAAACAGAAACACACAAATCCATCAGTCACTCCTCAAAATGCTGTCCTTTCTGGATGGTAACCTCTGTTCCTTTCTCTTTTTTCCTCAAGGCACCTTTGATCGTCTGGAAGAGCGTGCAAGGTATTCTTTTTTTTTTTTTGACAAATTTTATTGTTTTTTTTTTAACTTTTAAGTTAAATTTCTCCACAAGATGTCCTCAGTAAACTATGAAAGTCTCTTCCAGACATCAAGAATGAGATTAGCAAAGTCAGAGAGCTATGGAGTCTCTTTTCTGGCTTCTTATAGAGTTGTTGTTATTTTTTTCAAACAATAATGATTTATCCCTTTAAAAAAGTAAGTCCAAGACATAGGAAGGCACTATTCTCCAGCTTAGAAGATATAATAATAAAGTTTTAGGATAAGGATTTTTCCAGGGCCCCCAAGTAAACAAAAATAAAAATAAGTCAATAAGAAGTTTTTTCCTTTGTTATGGAAAGCTCTTTTCCACAGATAAATAAAGGCAGCTTTTTCAAAGCAGGGAAGTAATTCCAAAAGGCTTTTGACTAAGGTGACCAACTTTTTTACAATGAAAAGGAGGACATAAATAAATTGAAGAAAAAAAATATTGTAAATAAAAGAAACATTTTATTCATTGCAACAATAATACAGACAACTTGCATGTGCAAAGTTTGCCAGCCGGGTGTTTTGGCACGCTCAGCAGCAATTCCTATTGGCTTTCGAAAGCCAATAGTGGGAGTAGCACAGCTCATACAAAAGTTGAAAAAAAAAAACCATCAAAAAAAGGTGCCGGAATGCCGTTCTGAGCGTTCTATGAGGGGGAAAAAATCCCTGCAGATTAGTCTTCAAATATCGAAAAGGAGGACATGAAGGAGGACACTTTTTGAGGGAGGACAGAACTTACAAAAGGAGGATTGTCCTCCCTAAAGGAGGACGGTTGGTCACCTTACTTTTGACAGGAGAATAGTTAGGCAGAAAGAGAGAGGGAAAAGTCTCACCTGGATCATCCACGATGGTTTCTTAATGCTTAGATGTTCTTTTGACTTTCAGCTGGAGCAGCTAAATAATTGGCCATGTTACTAGCCAATCTTTCTCTCCGTTGGTCCTGAGGAGCTGCCTCGGACCACGGAAGGAGCTGCCTCCTCGCCCCGCAATCAATGAGAGTCCTCCTCATCGGTAGTCACCCCTCCAAGGTGTTCAACCCAATTGAGGGTCTACCGGCAGAGGAAAAGCAGGTAACGAAGAGAGAGAGCCTCTTCGTGTGCCTGCACCCACTGCAACCCAAACAGGAAGTCAGCGTGCAAGGTATTCTTAAAGGGTTAGCTAGTTTATCATTATCATCTGTGGGAAGCTTTCTGGATTGGGAAGGGAACATGATCTCCTGGTAAGCCTTCCATGGACCACGAACTACAGAAGGCCTTCAGAACTTGGCCCTGCAAGAGGCAGAGCCCAAATTTTGAATTTTAACAATAGATTGTTTCAATTTGGTGTATTTTTTTTTCATATCTACCTATCTATGAGTGGAAGGAACAGGAGATATATTGTACTACTACATCATGAATCATGTCATGTTAACATCAGTGGCCCCGTGAAAGAGATCCAGAAAAGGAGGTCTACTGTTTTTATTGCAGTCTTTGGAAACTGAACATTCTCTGTCATATTTTGCAAAATGTTTTTGTATCTTTTCCCTTATCACCGTATGCCTGTAGGCGATAAATACTTGCTCGCACATTCTTTTTTTTTAATGTTTAAGGTCTTTAAAATGTGACTCTCTAACCTCACTGTTGAACAGCAGGTAATTTAAGCAGCAGGATTCATGCACGGAGAGCAAAACATGGACTTAGAGCTGAGACTGGTGCTTGTCGAAAGAAAATTATATGCCTAACAAAAGTAATAACTTGATGGATGATAAAAATGCCAAATCCAATCTAAACATCTGACAGTGGAAACAACCATAATAATAATAATAACAATCGTTTACACCCTGCCACCCTTTAACGCCATCAAATAATAACATCTGCCTATCCCAGGTCCTTAGAATTCAATAGGTAGATAAAAGTGCCAAATCCAGTCTAAACTTCTGACTGGTTGTACAAGCAACCATGATTATAATAATAGTACTAATAGTAACAAGTGCCTTGGGTTCAGTTCCAAAACACCTGGAATACCATTTGAACACCATTAACACTGGGAAAATCAACTGTCAGTTGCAAAAGGCAGTTTTACTTGGAATAGCTTACATCCCACGACGATCCCTCTAACACCATCGAACAACAAAATCTGCCGATCCCAAGTCCTTGGAAAAGGATCGATAGGTGGACCAAAATGCCAAACCCAGTCTAATGTGGCAGATTATGCAAACCACCATAAAAACAATATAGCAACTGAGTAAGAATAATTTAAAAGCAAAGAGCTGGAGAATACTTTGAATTGTGTGATTTCCAGTAGAGGTAAGATCATAAACCACAACTAATTTAGAATTTAAGCCGATTCCGGCCAAGGACCTTAGCTACAATACAAACAAGTTAAAAGCTGGAGCTCATTCCCTGGTGAAAGTTTCCATCTCAGTTGGTTGGTTAAACATATTTCTATAGTTCCAGGGTTGGCAACCTTGGCTCTTTTATGACTGGTGGACTTCAACTCCCAGAATTCCTGAGCCAGCCGTGCTGAGGGGAAAGGGAGAGGTTTCCAAGCTGAGCCAGGCTGGCTCAGGAATTTTGGGAGTTGAAGTCCACAAGTCATAAAAAAGCCACGGTTGCCTACCCCTGCTCTAGACCATCAAAATCAGAGCGACCCTGCCAATTTACAACAAATGCAATATAAATCATACACAATGCAAACTCTAAAAATACAACAGCGATACAAAAATAAAAAAAAATTGAAGAGGATGAGCATATCCAACTCCTTTTTTTTCTTTTTCTTGGAGGAAAGGACAAGCACGTCTCACCAAGGGAGCCTTTTGCCTTCCCAGTCAAGAAAGGCCCCGTTGGAGGCCGATGATAGATTGGCAAGCACATTGAGGATGCCTCGCACACTGTTCTGCACAGTCACAGGGGCCTGGGAGAGAAAGAGAGGCAGGGTTACTATCCTCATGGAAGAAAGCTTGAATCCTGTACCCTCACCCATTCATTCTCCTTCTCTGGCTAAAACAATAGCAACAAATGGAGGGCTGCTACAGCCGCTATATAGCATAGCGTTGTGTTTTTCAACCTTGGCAGCTTTAAGATGTGTGGACTTCAATTGCCAGAATTCTCCAGCCTAACTCGGCTGGCCCAGGGCTGAAGTGTATACTGATGGTACCAGACTCCAAACTGATAGATGACCTCATCTAACATGATAGATGATGTCACCTAACATGTAGATGTCACCAGTCACAAAAAAAAGAACCATCGCAAAACGGTGCCGCCACCACCTCCAAGCCCCTGAAGCTGGTTCAAAAGGATATGATGGTCAACGGTGTGAAAAGCTGTTGAAGATCAAGGGGCAATGAGATGGATACATCACCCCATCTCAGCTCCAAGAAGGGACCGATGCTGTCTCTGTAGTAAACCCTGGCTCTCTTTCTTACATCTTTCAGGGGTACCTGCTCTGTTCCCATGTCTGTTTTCACCCAACCAGGATGGATCAAGGTACACAAGATCCCGTCTTCCTTTAGTTCCAAAGCGAAGCAGACCGTCACCATGTTCAAAGCAGCCTGCAAAGATAATTAAACATCTTAAGATCAGCTTCTCACCCTTTTCTTTCTTTTGAAACCTCTCTGCTCTGCTGCCTAGACCCAATCATAAAACCATTGTTGTCAAAAGCATTGACCAGACAAGAAAAACGGGTTTTATCTCTTTCAAATATTCTGAACTATGACTCCCTAACCTTCTGGATGCATTGGACAGGGTTTATGTGAATTGTAATCTCAAAGAACTAGAGGTGCTTAAAAGGGGAAAGGATTAAAGAATTGAAGAGTCCAGATGTGGAAGATTTAAAGGACAGAGAGGCAAAGATTTAAGCAACATGGGACCAGGGTAGCCTGCAGCAGAATCCAAAATGTCAGCATGATGTCTACACAAACAGAGGTCTGCCCCCTTTTTATATGTGTCACATTTGCAACACATTTTTTAAAAGGGTGGTCATTGATTATAAGTAAATGGGCACCATCTGACAAACTCCAACCCAGATCCAGGGAAGATGGGCGGGATATAAGTTGAATGAATGAACAAACGAAATGTTCCCAATGGGAGCCAAGATCTGATTGACTGGACACATAGGTATGTTCTGCTGTCCCACCAGCTAATTCTTCTGAAGGAAAGGAATGACCTGACCTCCAAGGAAAACCTACCTTGCTGGCACGATAAGGGTACATTGGTCCTTTCATGACTTCAAAGCCCCGTTCAATGGAGGCCAATTTGGAGGTTATATTGATGATGGCTGCCTTCTGACAGCTCATCTCCTTTATGGCTGCCTCTCCAGCTGCTTTCTTCAACAGGGGCAGAAATTCCTGAAGGAAACAAGATACATTAATTTGTGAAATAAGGGCATGATGACCCAGGAACTGAATGGCTAGTATCAACATCATTGATTTATCTCTAAGACATTACCATTGCTTTTGTTGATTAAGGCTACCTTTGCTTCCGATTTTCTTTGGTTTCAGCGGCCCCATTCTTTCTTATTAATTTCTTTCACATCTCCTTAATCACACATTCAATTGAAAATCCCAGCAATCTTTACATTTCTGGGATCACTGATCCCACATCAGTTTTAACTCTGAAGTTTCTGCATTCTACATAGCACTTACAGAATAGAATAGAAGAGAAGAAAAGAGAAGAGAAGAGAATAAGAGAATAGAATAGAATAGAATAGAATAGAATAGAATAGAAGAGAAGAGAAGAGAAGAGAAGAGAAGAGAACAGAAGAGAACAGAAGAGAACAGAAGAGAAGAGAATTGTTTATTGGCCAAGTGTGACTGGACAACAAGGAATTTTCCCCTGCGCATAAGCTCTCAGTGTACATTCAAAAAACAAAGTGATAGTCACAGATCATAAATCATAAGATTCATGATAGGATATGATAATACGATAGGAAATGATAGGATAAGATTTATGACAGGATGGGAATCAGTAGTCCATCAACCTAAACAACTCCAAACACCTGTCAGTGGTAATAAATATTGGGAGCTGTGATCCAACACCTCTTAAGAGGTTCCTAAGTTCTCCAGTGTTGGTTTAATCTACCCTATTTCATAATATATGGGACCAAAATCTTCATACTCTTGTTTCCTTCCCAGACTGGAGACAATGATTCTCTTACCTTAACCACAAGTATGGGCCCCACCACATTGGTGTTGAAAGCAGACAGCATCTCCTGCTGCTCCACAGTTTCCAGAGTGGCATAAGAGTTCACACCGGCATTATTGATCAGCAGGTTCAGACCTTTACCATGTAGAAGCGACTCAACCACTGAAGCAGCTGCCTTCACACTGGACTGATCCTCCACCTCTTCCATGAAAATACGAGAGAAATGGGATCCTTATCAGAGAAGCCAAAAGCTGGTGTGATACCTACAGGATTGTGGGTCGGCAGTTGGGAAGGAACCAAATTTTAGGTAGCCCTAGCTTGTGCCTACGTGACACCATATACAGGCAGTCCTCGACTTACAACAATTTGTTTAGTGACCATTCAAAGTTACAGCAGCACTGAAAAAAAGTGACTTGTCCCCATTTTTCACACTTAAGACCACTGCAGCATCCCCAACATCACGTGGTTAAAATTCAGACCCTTGGTAACTGACTCACATTTAGGACGGTTGCGGTTCCCTGAGAAACAAAGTTAATGGAAGAGTCAGATTCGCTTAACAGCCATGTTACGAACTTAACAACGGCAGAGGTTCACTTAACAACTGTGTTAAGAAAGGTCATAAAATGGGGCAAAACTCACTGAACGTCTGTCTTGCTTAGCCAAGGAAATTTTGGGCTCAAGTGTGATAGCAAGGCAAGGATTACCTCTACTGGGAGACAAACATTTTGAAGCTAAAACGCACATACGGCACTGTCAAACTGTCCATAGTCCATGCAGATTTCCCAGTGGGTTTTTTAAAAAAAGGGAGGCCAAATTGGAACAGGAAAAAAATGGAACACTCTCATACCTAGCTGAATGATGTGAATGTTGGAATGCTTGCTGGCGAGTTCATTCAAGATCTGGAATGAAAGAGAATAAGACAAGACAAGAGAAGACGATCCAAGGAACAACGGAAAACTTTTGGTTTCCTATCCCTGAGTCCTTTTTAGCCCTGAAATCCATAAATCACTGGTTCATTTTTTTTTTCTTTGTTCAGCAAAAAGTTTCAAAAAGTTCAAAAGTTCAAAAACCAGGACTCTGTTTCTGAAAACAGTTCGTGCTGGATGCCTGCTTGTTGTGAAATAAATAAATAAAAAGGTTTTGCTCTAGGTTTTCTCTTGCTGTTCCTGATCCATATCTCATGTCGGTGAATGTGCACTGATGTGATTTTAAAACATGTCAAGACAGGCAGGCTTTTAAGACTGGCAAAGCTTCTAAATTTGCTTTCTAGTTCATGTTGCCCTTCTGTGGCTGGCAGCTGTGTGTGATTTGCTGTTTTTGTCACGCCAGAGGGCCCATGCTCGCATTTTCTCACTGCCTCCCATCATCTCAAGACAGTGAACACACCAAAAGCATTGCTGCAATATCCAGTGAACAAATTGTTAACTCTGCCCAGGTTCTGGATCTGATCTCATTTTCTGTACATCATTGCCTTGCCTTGTGTGACTCTTGACACCTCACTCCCATCCCACTTCTGAATCACCAAAACGTTATCTATCCCGTTTTAGAGCTGTACTTTAGTTCACTGTTTTGCTATTTCAATCTCCTCTGGCAGAGGATGGCATCTGTTCCACAGTAATTGCGAGAAGGATAGAGCTTCCTATGCAGGCTGGCTTACCTGTAGAATTTCCTCCGCAAGGAAGTTCATGCAAATATTACTGTTTGGAGCCTAGGTGAATGTCTTGTTTCTCTTCTGGGCTTCTAAGAATATTTTTTTAAAGAAGAGCTTTATGTCTTACTTCTTTGGGGTGAGAAGTATCTCTGTAGGTTCTGCTATCTTCTGTAGCTTTACTCCTGCAGCAACATTAAGGTAACTACAGGAGGGAGAGAAGCCACTTGTGTCCACCTCCCTGAAGAACTTAAAGCAAAGCTGCTTTGACAGCAACAGGGTAGTCTTCTCCCTGTTCTTCAATCATGATAGCTTTCTACAAACCTTTCCGCCAGGTCCAGCTGGGGTCCGGCAAGTTGCAAAGATAAGTTCTGGGGGCTCAGCCATCTTCACCAGCTGTTGGATCAGTTCCAGTCCGATTCCCCGATTGGAACCAGTCACTAATATGCTACGAGCTAATGGAGCCATCCTTTCACTTGAACTCTTACCTTTTTGTACTGACTGGACTTTGTTCGGTGGTTTAGTAAATATAATGTTAGGACTCGGGAAAGAGGTGTGTCTCCTTCTGACACAGTCTCTTCATTTGCTTGAGGCTGTGGCATGCAAATCTTTGCCTGGGAAGAGCAGATCTTAAGGCATTGTTTCGGTGACAGAGCCTTGAATGGGAGTCTCAAGAGCACAGCGGGAAGAATTGTTAGGGAAAACAGGTCTTGCGTGTTTGGGGCCAACCCCTGACATGTGTCAAGTGTCAAAGTTTGTAGGGTTGGGAAAAGCCTCTCCAAGGATCAGAAAAGATGTCATACTCCTCCGGTCTGCTACCCACCCAATTTGCACATCCTTTGTGATGCTTCTGAACCTCTCCCCCTTAGATCTGGATTCACACAAATGACTAGCACAAATAAATAGCAACAGCATCCACTAGTTTAACGTCTAGTTTAGTCTAGTTTAACGAAGAGAAGGACAAGGGGGAACATGATAGCAGTATTCCAATATCTCAGGGGCTGCCATAAAGAAGAGGGAATCAAGCTATTTTCCAAAGCACCTGAAGGCAGGACAAGAAGCAACGGGTGGAAACTAATCAAGGAGAGAAGCAACCTAGAACTAAGGAGAAACTTCCTGACAGTGAGAACAATTAATCAGTGGAACAGCTTGCCTCCAGAAGCAGTAAATGCTCCAACACTGGAAGTTTTTAAGAAGAGACTGGACAGCCATTTGTCCGAAATGGTGTAGGGTTTCCTGCCTGAGCAGGGGGTTGGACTAGATGACCTCCAAGGTCCCTTCCAACTTTACTACTATTACTATTACTTCTCTGGAAAGAACCTTCCCACGTGTGGCACTTGTAATAAAAGGTGATGGCAAGATTTTCCGTGACCGTAGTGCATTTATTGATAATAAACAACAGCGAGGCAGTCCTACTGTGTTTAGGGACAGGTTCCTCCTGCAGAAGAAACCACAGGGAAGATTTCTCCTTTCAGTTCACAAAGGTCTGATGCTTTCCACTCCCGTCCCCCCCAGAGAAGCTCAATAATCTGTTCACCAGATTATTTTTTTCCCCTGCCAATCCAGAAAAGTGCCAGATGATGACGAATCTAAACCAGAAATGACCTTCACCAAACCCTTAGTACTGGTCTCCACTGTCATAGGAGCCTGCGGGGGAAAAGAGAAGCTGAATTATGGTTCTGCAAACTGGTTTATTATATCATTAGGGTTAATCTATAATTCGATTCACAGTCTGGGACTGGTAAAAATTTAACAGTTCAAGTTCTAACCAAGAACTTAAGGAGTGATAAGGTATGTTGTTGCTGTTGTTAAATTATGGACCTGTTCTGAACTCTGAATAGGCTGACTCCAAAGAAAAGTCTTCAATTTGCAGTTTGGGCGTACACACACATTGTGAGAGACGACACCCACGGAGGGGCAGCTGGTGTGAAGACTACGGTGAGGTGGCACTTTCCCAGGGAAGAGCGAGCACATCCCAGGAGTGGGGTGAGACAAGAGGCAGCACAGCCCAGAGATGGAGAGGAGACAGAGGAAGAGAGCTAGGATAGCCACTCCCTAAAATCTCCCAGGTAGATCCGTTAAGGTGAGAGTAGTAAAGGTTTAGCCTGGCAGGAGTCTGTCTCTTGGGTGTAAAGAAACAAAGAACTGAATTATGGATGAACTGTTCCACCTCGTTCTTGGACTTAGCCTGACACACATAACACATCAACAAAACAGATGGACCCAAAATATACCAAAGGCATCTTTTTGCTTTATAAATATTCATTTATAAAGCCAGTTTGTTCTCTAGTGGTTAAGGCACCAGGGTTGAAAGTGGGAGACTGTGAGTTCAAGTCCCACCTTAGGCACAAAAGCCAGTTGGGTAATCTTGGGCTAATCATCAGGAGACGGTAAGTTCTAGTCCCAGTTTAGGCATGAAAGCCAGCTTGGTGACTATACCAAACTGGCTCTCAATTACTACATTTCTAAATTTTTGAGAACATTCATTATTCCCTCCCACCCACCATCTTATAGTACCAGTTCTGATCCCATGTCAGTTTTCACCCATCCAGGATGGAGCAGAACACACGCAATTCCATCTTTTTTCAGTTCCTCTGCAAGGCAGGCATTGACCATGTTCAGCGCTGTCTATAAAACAAAGCGTGAGAGAATGAATGGCAGAACCTGGGGGTTGGGATGAAAAGAGGGATCAGCCTATACTCCTTACATAGCCACAAGTGAAGTAACGCCAATCCTCCTTAAGTGCCGTGGATCCAAGAGGTGCTGATCCTTAGTTGAGAAGATGCCTGTCCATAGGCATTTAGCAATAAATCAGTTTTCAATATTGATGAATAATCTGTAATTGGGGTATAGGATGATGGTGGAGGTTCATTCTGTGAGCTTGTGGATTGGTTTATGAACATTTCATTACCAGTCTAGATAACATCTTCAGTGGAGTTTAGAGCATGTCAGAGTTGGTGTTCTTCTGCAAGATCTTCAGTAGATCTTGTGATGGGGACATCATGTCAGGTGAGAGTCAGGTCAGGTCAGGTGATGGGTCTGACGACCCAAGATGACCCACACCTGACTCATCAGAAGACTTTCACCTGATATGGCCTTCACCTGATGTGACCTCCCCATCACGAGATCTACTGACCACACAAAGCGCTTAGAAGAAGAAGAACACCAATGCCGACATCCTCTAAACCAGTGGTTCTCAACCTTTTTAATGCCGCGACCTCCAACCGGTCGTAAGTCAAGGACTACTCAACCGGTTGTAAGTCAAGGACTACTCAACTGGTGCAGCACCGTTTGCAGAATGGGACTTTTGGCGGGCTCAGCAGGGCAGAGACAGCCTGGACAATTCCTATGGGCTTTTGAAAGCCAATAGAATTAGACTCTATTCAAGAGAGTCTACTCTACTGGCTTTCAAAAGCCAATAGAATAAAAGGAAGTAGCACAGCTAAGGAAAAGGGGGAAAAAATGGCGGACTGCATTGTTTGGCAACCCCTGTGAAATGGTCGTTCGACCCCAAATGGGGTCCCGACCCACAGGTTGAGAACCACTGCTCTAAACTCTGCTGAAGATGTTCCCTAGCCTGGTAATGAAACATTTGGAAACCAATCCAGAAGCTCGGAGAACGAATCTCCACCCTCAATAAATCCGTTTAAGTGAACCTTCACATGAGGGACCTGAGTTTTCATCATCACTTTAACAAGTCCTTTCCCTAATGGTCACATGTCTTCTGAACCTTGGCCCCGGGTCCAGTTTCACTTTACAAAGACTTCACACTGATCAGAGGCTCCTGGAGCTGGAGACTGGCAGGCAGGAGGGCTAGCGACGACTTGGACTATCTCGTTGGCTAGGTTCAAAATAACAGAATTTCTGACTTACCTTGCTGACACGATATTGGTACTCTGGAGGAATTTTTGTTGCGGTCTTAAAACCCTGCCCAATGGAGCTAATTATAGAAGATACGTTGACGACAACTGCCTTGTTGTCTCCCACGGTCTCCTTGGCAGCCTTCTTCAGAAGAGGCAGGAACTCCTAAAATACATATGAAACAGTAGGCCGGAATGTCACATTTCTCTCCTTCCTGGATCTCATTCAGATCTTTTCTTTTATTCTCACTGGCTTTTCTTGTTTCCCAAGTCATGGCTTTCTCTTGGTGCCACCTCTGATCCCGTTGGCTCACGGTTGATCTCACTGGCACGCTTAACACTAACCAGGCCTTCCATCTCAAGTGGACTCCGCCATAGCTTTGGCCTTCCCTACTGCTTCCTGCCACATAATCCTACCCCTAACTCTACACATCTATAGGTATTCCTCGACTTACGGCCACCATTGAGCCCCAAATTTCTGTTGCTAAGGGAGTTTTGCTCCGTTTTACAACCTTTCTTGCCCCTGCGAATCCCTGCAGTCGTTAAATTAGTAACACGGTTGTGAAGTGAACCCGGCTTCCCCATTGGCTTTGCTTGAGGTTGCAAAAGGGGATCACATGACCCCGGGACGCTGCGACCGTTATAAATATGAACCAGTTTCCAAGCATCCGGATCACGTGACCCTGGGGATGCTGCAACAACTACAACTTCCCTCCTTTCACTCTTCTTAGTAACTTCAAACCGTCATTAAATGAACGGGTGTTAGTTGAGGACTATCTATACAGCTCCCGGGACCTTAAACCAGACTTACTTTGACAACCAGGAGGGGTCCCACTGCGTTGGTCTTGTAGGACATTAGCATATCTTCCTGATCCACGTCTTCCAGAAAAAGGGCTTGGGAATTTCGGCCCGCATTGTTGATGAGCAGATTGAGCCCTCGTCCTTTCAGCTGGGATTGTACTGCTAAGGCAGCCCGCTTTATGCTGGGAAGGTCTGTCGTATCTACCACAGACAGGAGAAAGCTAATAGGACAGGTCTCAATAAAATCAACTTGGTTCCTAATTTGAGGCGTGCGGGCAAAGTGTAAGGGTATGTGGGAAAGACCTTCAGAGACAGGGGGGAAAGCTGCAGCCTAGATAACAGCCTGATAAATGGAATCTGCCCACCTAGCAGTTCGAAAGCGTGCAAATGCGAGTAGATAAATAGGTACCACTTCAGTGGGACAGTAACAATGGTCATAATGGTCGTAATGGTCGTGGGACTGTACCACTACTGTACATTTGGACTATAAAAACCAACATAAAAATCCCCAAACTGAGAATTAAGTCTGTAAGTATGTTGTACGTGTGGTGCACTCGACTGACAGGCTCATGGAATTGATGATGCTAGATAGGGTAGTATGTTGTTTCGATCGCTGGAGTCAAGAAGCTTACCATCTTTTTCCTGAAGTATTATGCCATAAGAAATGGGTTAAAATGCTTTCATTGCAATAATTACCCAGAGAGTAAAGATCCCATACCTAACTGAAGCACGTGAGTGTTGTCATGCTGACTGGCAAAACTCTGCAAAGCCTGCAATTGAGAAAGAAAATGTGAAAAAGAACAGGTTGAATGGATAAAATATATAAAAAAGCATCCACAACCATATTAATTGGGATGCATTTCTATGAACTGGAACTTGGAAGGATTTGTGGACTAGAATAGTCCACATCTGCACCTTTATCTGTTTTATTTAGAAGCCGGAACCACTTAATCCCTGTGCACCCATCTTAACAACCCCAGCTATTCATTTAACAACTGTGGCAAGGAAGGTTGCCAAATGGAGCAAAAACTCACTTAACAACTGTCTCACTTAGCAACAGAAATTTGGGGCTGAAATTGTGGTCCTGATTCGAGGAGTACCTGGACTTGGCTCTTACACTGTGTGATATGTGAAGCCCAAATAAAATCATAGTGTGGTTCAGCATGAGGTGCATAAAGCAGGTGAGTTTTCTGGTTTGGGATGTCTTAGTGTGAGGTCTGAATGCCAAGCCACCTTGCATCATTCGGTGGACTGTGATTCAAAACATCCCGGCTTAATCTTTTGCCCCAAATACCTCAATTGATTCATGCCTGCAATGGAAACCCACCTCAGTACATTCCCCCACCTCGTATCTTAAAGATGTTTAATTACGGTTAATTGTTTACATCAGTGGTTCTCAACCTTTTTAATGCTGCGACCCCCAACCGGTCGTACGTCGAGGACTACTCAACCGGTCGTAAGTCAAGGACTACTCAACTGGTGCAGCACCGTTTGCAGAATGGGACTTTTGGCGCGCTCAGCAGGGCAGAGACAGCCTGGACAATTCCTATTGGCTTTTGAAAGCCAATAGAATTAGACTCTATTCAAGAGAGTCTATTCTATTGGCTTTCAAAAGCCAATAGAATAAAAGGGAGTAGCACAGCTAAGGAAAAGGGGGAAAAAATGGCGGACTGCATTGTTTGGCGACCCCCGTGAAATGGTCGTTCGACCCCAAATGGGGTCCCGACCCATAGGTTGAGAACCACTGGTCTACATACCTTTGATTCAGATCCAGTAGGGTTCTTACAAGTTGCGAAAATGTGGCCTTGAGGAGGGTTTATTTTCACCAGCTCTTTCACCAGTCCAAATCCAATTCCCCGGTTGGTGCCAGTCACCAGGATATTCCGAGCTACTTGAAACATCTTGGCCCTTGACTTTTGCTCTTCAACCCTGTTCCCCCTTGGATAGGTGATGACATCTGCATCTGCAGATAAGAAGAGGTGACTAATATTAGGCTAGTCTGAAGGGGATTCTCTTGGAAATATAAATACAATAATGGATTAGTCCTTGACTAAAAAGCCGCAACCAGAATTTCCATTGCCAAGCAAGGCGGTTGTTAAAGGGAGTCGCCCCTGGTTAAGTGAATCACTGCGGTTGTTAAGAGAACCACATGGTCATTTAAGGGAATTGGCTTCTCCAATTCACATCACCCGGGTTCCAACCAAGCAAATTAAGCTAAACCTAGGACCATATACATATCTTTGTATAAGAATGGTTGCAGGATTTCAATATGGCTAGTCTAGTGAAAATAAAGACTTGGGGTGACATGATAGCAGTATCCCAGTATTTGAGGGGCTGCCACAAAGAAGAGGGAGTCAACCTATTTTCCAAAGGATCAGAAGGTGAGACAAGAAACAATGGATGGAAACTAACCAAGACGAGAAGCAATCTGGAATTAAGGAAAAATGTCCTAACGTGTGAGAACAATTAACCGGTGCAACTTCAGAAGTTGTGGGTGCTTCATCACTGGAAGAACGGACAGCTACTTGTCTGAAATGGTTGTTGTTGTTGTTGTTAGTTGCAAAATCGTGTCTGACCCATCGCGACCCTATGGACAACGTTCCTCCAGGCCTTCCTGTCCTCTACCATCTTCTGGAGTCCCTTTAAGGTCATGCCTCCTGCTTCAGTGACTCCATCCAGCCACCTCATTCTCTGCCATCCCCTTCTTCTATTGCCCTCAATCTTTCTGAAATGGTATAGGGCAGCGGTTCTCAACGTTTGTGTGATGGCGACCCCCGTCACACAAACGGTATGCGCATGCGCGGCGCGACGCGCATGCGCAGCACCCCCATGCGCGACGGGCATGCGCAGCCCCATGTGTGACGGGCATGCGCAGGCCCCCATGTGTGACGGGCATGCGCAGGCCCCCATATGTGGCGGGTATGCGCGGCGGCGCCCCCATGCGCGACGGGCATGCGCGCCCCCATGCGCGACGGGCATGCGCGGCGGGCCCCATGCGTGGCGGGCATGCGCGGGAGCGCCCCCATGCGCGGCAGGCATGCACAGTGGTCCCCCCGGAGACGCGCTGCTGCCCCCATGCGCGGCGCGCATGCGCGGCGGCGCCCCCGGAGGGGAGAAAATGGCGGATTGCCGCCTTTGGCGACCCCTGAAAAATGGTCGGTCGACCCCAAATGGGGTCGCGACCCATAGGTTGAGAACCGCTGGTATAGGGTCTTTATTTGTTTTAAGTGGGTTGGACCGGAAGACATTCCTTCCAGCTCTATTCTGAATTAATTGTATACATATAATATTTCTATTAGGCTATGTAGCGAAAGCAGATTAGGAAGTTCCCGCAGTGTCACTAACTTTAAGATTGGCTTTGCTATTCCTTATCTAATCAGACCATCTTCCAAGTATCTTACCTGAAGCAAGTGGAATAGTCCCAAGAAATAGTTCCCTGGACAATTTAGACCAGGGGAGAGAAAGACTTCTCCTGTTCGTTGCAATCTATGACTGATGCTCACCCCCAAAGCAGATTTAGCAGTATTACATAGCACTTTCCACGTCCTTCTTTCTCTGGCACCATCTCATTTAGAATTATGCCTTTCATACCTGGGGGAAAATCATCTCAGCAGCTGTAAGGACAAAGCTGTACTTTCCCCACTGACTGTGTTACTATTATGACATCATTTCTCTGTTCCTAGGGTTATGATTGACTGCAGTTTCATTCACTGGGCCTCTGTTGACTTTATGAAACTTTAATATATATTGTTAGTCCATGGATGATGTGCCAAGTGGCTGGGGAATTCTGGGTGTTGAAGTCCACCCATCTTAAAGCAGCCCAAGTTGGGAAACACCATCCTATGGAAATAGACTGCAGGATGTGGTCAAAAAAGTGCATATAGGACCATATAATTGAAGCTCCACCCATTTTATATGAATTGCCCCTAAAAAAAGTTGAGCTTTGATCCCACCCTATATGCCCCCATCTTGGCTTTTTTTAACCACACCATTGGACACCGTTGCCTATTCTGGCTCATTTAGCTAATTATCTGGCATTCAGATGTTTGTCCCACATTCTGGACTTGGAGATCCTTAGTCTTTTTGTGTACAACATGCTACTTCAGAGCAGTTTTATTTAAACATTCAGTGTTTATATGATCTTTAGAGCTGATGATTATCACTCAGAATTCCTATTGTGGCTTTTTCTTATTTTATGCAATGGGATGTTTGCACCATGCTTCAAGGATCCTCAACACACACACACTCATACACACAAAATTATAAACCCACATACACATTTAATGTTCCAGGAACCAAATTTTGTATTTTTTTATTTTTACGGACGTTGCAGAAAATGTTTTAAAACTCGAGCAGATGCACGGTGCAAGGTGCCTTCCTTTGGTCATTTAATTTAATTTAAAAAAAAAAAAGGATTCTGCAAAATACTCAAAGGACTTATTTTCATATTTAAAAATATATATAAAGAACAGTGCATTTTAACGACATGGTCCTTTCCCCCATCGTACGATATTCTACTAAATCAATCTCGAATTATTAACTACTCTCTGTAATTAGATCTTCCCTTCCACGCCCCGCCCCCCCCCGGGCAGTCTCTTCCCTTAATGGCGGCCCCCATGCCGCCTTTAAGCCCCTCCCACGGAGGCCACGTGACCTCGGTTTCGCAGCCATTGCATCAGCCGGGCTAAAAATCCTTCAATCTCCGCATGCCGTAAGGCTGGCAAGTCGGCGTGACTCGGCCCCTTTTAAAAGATAACAAACAAGACTTTGGACCAATAGCTACCCGGCTTCTCAACTTACAGACCAATAGGATGTGCGAAATAAAGAAAGGCCCGCCTCTTGCCCGGTTGCGTAGCGAAAACGCCGCCGCAGCTCCTGGCAGCGACGTCGCGGGTTGGGGGAGCGGCTGAAAAGGGCAGGTAGGCAATTGGGGGTCGTTTGAATGGGAAGAAATAAAACCAATGCGTTACTTCCACTCCAGCATCTCGTGTCTGTTTTCCAGGCGGAAAAGGCGGCATCCTCAGGGGTTCCCTCCCCCTTCAGTCTATCCGCACATCAACCCTGCAAGGTAGGCTGGGCGGAGATAGATTGCCTGAATCTCCAAGCGCTCAATAAAAGGGGCGGTGAGATGGTTGCTTGTAGGCATGTTGGAAAGTGGACTCCTTTTCTGCCCCTTTGCTCAAGCTCTCCTCCTCTTGTAAAGGAGTTGGGTTTAGGTTGCTGATTTGGGGGCTCAAGTGCTTAAATGCCCCATGATGGTTTCCTGCTGGGTGTGTGTTTGTGGGTCTCCAACCCTGCGTGTCTACAGAGATTCTCCATCATCCAGGTCATGGTTGTCCCAAAGGTGCTTTTTTTTTTTTTCAAGGTAATTGGACATTCTTGAGGTTGTTTTCCTTTGAAAACGTTTCACTTCTCCTCCAAGAAGCATCTTCAGTTTTAACTGACTAACGGGGAATGGGAAGACTAAATGCTGAGGACCAGATGATTGCAAAGAATATAAATCTTTCCATTCCCCCAGCAGTCAGCTAGAACCGAAGCGAAATGTTTTCAAAAGGAAAAAAAGAACAAGAAAGTCCAGTTGTCTTTTGGAAGAGAAAAAAAAAGCATCATTGGGACTACAACCCTGAGGCTTATGGTGTCCAAGGTGAATTTGATTTATGGCCAGCTGCACTGGGTCAAAGTGACATACTGTGCCTTAAGGCCCATTGGGCACCCTTTGTCCTAAGTCGTAACTTGACTTCTTAACTTAGCCATTGTGGTTTGCAAATAGTAGTTTAAGGGGTGGCATCCCTTGTGAAGCCGTAGTGTTTGATACGTTATGGGGAAACATCCTCAGTTGTTCACTGACAGTTATGTGTTAAAAGGCTTTGGCTTTTGTTCTAGATTTATTTTAAAAAATAGAGTTTTATGTTTGTTCAGAAACTGTTTTGGATTGTGAGTTATTTCTGAAGATGGGTGGCCTTCTACATTTCTTCCGTAAATAAAAACGCATCAGAGTTGGTCAGTCTGGAAGACACACTGGGTGGTGGCAGGAGCAAGGGTGGAAGAAATAATTGGTCTCCATCTACTTTGTAAACCACCTGAGAGGCATCTGGGTGGCATTGTACAAAATGAAAAGCCTGGGGCAGAAGAACAGATCTGAAGTTCTGATGATCAGAGGATTACAGTATTTCTGAAAAACACTAGATTGAGAAATGTTGGCCACCGTCCAGTTTGGCCAGTTGGACATTTCTATTCTGCCAGTTTGGAAACTCTGCATTTGTGGAGGCTGTTGGCAACTGATCATCTGCTTTGCCTGCTGTGTAGGGAACAGAGTGTCTTACCATGTTTTTAACCTGTCCTCTGAAATTCAGAGGTTGTATTTATACAACACCCTTAAACTTGGAGACTCGATGGATTGATTTCTGGTTTGCCTAATACACTGAATCAGAAACTAATCAAAGTATTGCCATCCCTCTACATGTTAAATTCCCCTTCTCAAAATCCTCCACACAATATCCTAATTCTTAGCTCACCATTAGTGAGAAAGGAATTGGAGCTCTTCTGCTGTCTGAGCACCCCAGAGGCATCTGGGTGACACTGTGAAAAATGAAATTGAGTGCGCAGCTGCCAAGTCTTTAATTCACCTATTAATAATTTTGTGTAAACCTAAGCAGTTGGCTGATAAAGATTTTGTTTTCGGCTCGACCTGTTAATATCAACTAGGAGTTTACTTCTGATGTCAATCAATGCTGGGTTAAATTTGATCCCAAGGCCAGCAGCCATTCAAGGTGGCGAATATATTTCATGCTCCTTCCTCGTCCTATTTTCTTGACAAAAACTACCCTGTGGTGTGGGATGGGCTGGGGAAGGGGACTTAACTGACCCAAGATCGCCAAGCCAGCTTTTATGCCTAAAGTGGGACTGACTTTTTATAACTTTGTGTTACTTTCTTCAAAGCTGGTGTTTCTTCTTTCCATCTCTGTCTCACCAGTGCTGACCAGAGGCCTCACCATGGAGACACTGACAGCTTGTGAGATCCGTCAACGCTTCATCAATTTCTTTGTGGACAACCAGCACACTTATGTACACTCGTCTGCTACTATCCCTCTGGATGATCCTACTCTCCTTTTCGCCAATGCTGGCATGAACCAGGTCAGTGATAACAGACGCTCGTAAAAGAGAGGAAATTGTACTCTGTTTTTCGTAATTCAAGAATTTGGGGGCTGACCCATATATATATATATATATATATATATATATATATATATATATATATATATATATATATATATATATATGTATATGTATAGTATATGTATGTATATATATATTAAATGTGCTCAGCCTAGTTTGCACAAAACTCTAGAGCTGAGAATTGCTATTGTTTTCCCAGTTCAAGCCCATCTTCCTCAACACAATTGACCCTTCCCACCCCATGGCAAAGCTGACACGAGCCGTCAACACCCAGAAGTGCATTCGAGCTGGTGGCAAACACAACGACTTGGACGATGTGGGCAAGGATGTGTATCATCACACTTTCTTTGAGATGCTGGGCTCCTGGTCTTTTGGTGATTACTTCAAGGTACAGCAGGAGCATAGCAGGAAGCTCTCAACTCGGGCATAAAACATAGGGTGGGTTGTAGTTTGTGGGGGGCTTGTGTTTCCTTGTTGCACATAGAATTCTTGCATTTTTGGTCTCCTGGAAATTTTCTTATGTAAAAGCTAGGGAAGCACTTCTCAGTCTGCTCAAGATGGAGCTGTCTTCTGATCTGGCATGTTTGGGGTGTTGATTTGGTTACTGCTGGATCATTCAAAGACACAGAGGCAGCCTGCTTGTATTTCCAGACCCATCAAATACACTTCAAACCAGACTGAAGAAAATAGAGATTTTGACCCATTAGATGGGCTAGCAATAAGGCATGCTCACTTAAAATTGCCTTGCTTAGCAATGGCTATTTTGACCCTGACTGTGGGCAGATACGGGACTATCCTGTATCTATGATGGCTTGGTGGTGTTATTGCACCATTTAGAAAAAGGGAGAGGTTAATTTGTTTATGTATTATGCTTATTTAGAATTTGTTTATTTTATGTTAAAAGAGAGTTAAAGTGTATTATGGATTTGGTTTTTATATAGTTGGTTAATGTTATTTAGATTATGATTGTCATATTTGTAACCCTGTATTCAGCTCTGGGAAGTGTGGGAGGGGGAGAGGTTGGGGGGGGGGTTGGGGTTGTTTTGTTGTAAACTTTTGTAAAACTTTTCAATTAAAAAAGGGGGGGAGATGTGAACAGAGAGAAAAGAGGTAGATATTTCTGTCTGGCAGGACCTTCACAGCCCTGTTTTTTGCTGTCCACTCAGGAACTGGCTTGCAAACTTGCTCTGGATCTCCTCACCAAAGAATTTGGCATCCCCATCGAAAGACTCTATGTGACTTATTTTGGTGGCAACGAGGCAGCCGGCTTGGAGCCTGACTTAGATTGTAAACAAATTTGGCTGGATCTCGGGTGAGTTGAGATGACCCAGGAAATTCTTCCTTAACATCTGACTGTCCAACCCCTCCCAAAAGAAGCGAAGGTGTAAGAGATATCACCTCTCTTAGTCTTTCCAAACTAGCCAGTGCCTTAAAATTTCTCCTTCCTTTGCACCATGCAAACTCTTGTGCTC